CACCCGGGCTCGCGGAGGAGTCCCCAGTTTCGACGCTGACACGCAAAGAGGACGGTGAAAAGTGAGGAGAAAAATCAGAAAATTCAAAACACTTTTTGTTCACGTAAGCGAGTATTTGTATCTGTTGGAAATCTGTCTTCACGCCACGCGACAGTATTGAAAACCTGTCCTTTATTCCCGACGTCAAGGGGTCCCTGTTGACTGCTGCAAGCAAACCAAGCCCCTCTGCCTTCGCCGCTCATGCGGCTCTACCGGCACAAGCGGGTTGCGCTCGGGTCACCCTGGCACGCAAACAGCACGTCCTGCTGCTCTTACCTTCTCACCGCGCAAATAATAATTAAAAAAAAAAAAAAAATACAGAAATGCAGCTGTGTCTGCAGGGATGCCGAGCAGCACAGGCTCCAAGAGCACCGTCATTTTGTCACACAATGAAGTGCAGTAATTGAACAGTGGCGCTGAGCATTTATTCACGGGAACGCCGCGGTGCATCGGCACTTCCCGAAGAGGGACGGCTGTGCCGGGCCCCCCTGAAGGAGGGGCAGGATGTGGCACCAAACACGACCGAGAATTACTCTCATTTGAGCCAGCGTGTCTTGTTTACCCCTTACGATTTTTTGACCTCACTGTTAATATGACAGTTTCTTTGTTGTTGCTACTAGAGAAAAAAAAAAATGGAGGCTTAAAAACCCTATCAAACTGCACAATCAGTGAGGAGATTCACTGAGAATAGCTATAAAGCCTTAAACAAGCCCTTTATTTTGTGTTTTAGCAAGTGTCGTAAGGAGTTAATAGGACACAGCTGTACAGGCTCTGTCTAATAAGCAGCTTCTGTCGCTTTGGTCACCACAGGTGTCTCTCTAACCTGCAAACTCTTATTACTAGTGTATCAAAGTTGTGCTACTTAATAGATTTCTTTAGTAAAACACAACAAAGCAATTACATGGCTGTTGATCGTCAGTCATAAAAAAACTCCTCAAACACAGTTTTTCAAAAGAAACTACACTGCAATTTTTTGTCAGTGTAAAATAAAAGAAACTAGAGAATTAAAAAGAAAACCGAACAATGGAACAGCAGGTCGTCAGCTGAACTTAGCCACTACAGATGGTTTAGAAATAGTGTTTCCTTCTACACCAAGTTGTGGGATAAAAGAAAAGGAGGAGGCTCCTTATTGCCAGTGAATGGCAATACCAAAAGACTTAAGCAAGTTTCCAGTCTGTATTTGGTCCCATGAAAGAGCCTAGATGTTTCTTTTTCTCTCACCTTTTTTTTTCCTACTTTTTTGTTTTTAAATCTGTTTTTGCCATTGCTTTTTTCCATAGTCTTTAACTGTTCTCTGATAAAGCTATAATAATTAAAACAAGGAACACAACTGCTGATTCACGCAATGACAAAATGCAGAAGGCTGAGCTAGGAATTCCTGTTAAACAACAAAGTGTCATTTTAAAAGTATATTGCTGGACACAGAGATTGTTCTGTTCTCCTTTGCCCACTGTCTTTAAAGAAATACTAACAGTAATTACGTATTTAACGATAAGAACGCATGAATGCCCTATAAAGAAATGCAATTTCTACCAAGCCATAGAGCAAAAGAAACATGTATCTGCATTTTTAATTGTTCGATAATCAATGGAATTGTGTAAAAAATGGTAGCCTTATCCCAGACCAAATGCCGGTAGCATCTTTTGCTCAAAAATTAGAATTATCATTATAGTTTTATACCCAAAACACTGTCCTGGCAAGCAGTAGTCTTCTGTGTAAGCAGAAGTGATAAAGCCCAAGTTAGAAGACCAAACAGGTCTGCTTTCTAAATATAATCATTATTTTTTAAGTAGTTTATGATCAACTGATAAATAACTAAAAGAAAGAGGTCTTCATATAAAGATAGGAAAATTCATTGCTAACGTATAAGAAGTGCAAGAAGGAGGAATCTACAGATTTTATTTCTTAACTCATCAGTAAAATGAGGATCTCTAAGAAACAGGATAGCATTTATTAACATATTATATTAAAACTTATCAAAATCCCCAAACACTGCCGATGCTAATGTTCTGTAAGAAAACTGGAGAGCTCATAAAACTTCATAGGAATTATTAGCTTTAAATTTTAAATTAAATTATCGATTTTTAAAAAAATGTTCAGTCACAGCAGTAGCTATTATTCCAAAAGAGTCCCCAGACACTTCTACTGCAGTTACACTTATGTCTGTACAATTAGTGTCACATACTATTATGGCACCATATGGGAGAGCACTGAAGACATGTTCTGAGAACTACGTTTGCAAAATAAGCTCCGAAAAAAAAAAGGGCAGTAGGGAGGCAGGAGGAAATAGTCTGTTGAACGATTTTTCCTACACAGGAAAAATGAAAATGAGGAGGGTTCAAGTCCCAAGCAGCGTCAAACAGCACAGCTTCACTGATCAGTGGAGAACGAGCACAACTTTTTCGTTTTAATAAATATCATGCAACCAAACATCTGATACACAGAGACAAGCTCTTCCTTGAGAGAAAAGCTGCTCCACTCACTACTCCAATCACGTTACCTTGCTCTGTTTGCTTCTTTTGTCATGTCCCAGGCCCAGGTGATGAAGTTCTGACTCAGGTACGAGACAATGGATTCAGCACAAAGCATTTGCGAGCAGAAGACGTTAGTCAGGACGCTGTCGTCGTGGTGGAGGTAGATAGCAAGAAGCTTTCTCTGAAAGGACAGGAGAAAACAGCGATCAGTGAAAACTTCCTCAGACTACTTGGGAATTTAAAACTGCAACCGCAGGTTGTGTGTTAGGATGCACAGTGGCATTTATAGCGTGTGCCGAGTCTCTCAATGTGAGTCTCTCACACAGAAGAAGAAGAAAAATAAACAAAAAACCCAACAGATTTCAAGGCATAATGGTCCCTCTCTCTAAATCTCTGTCTCTCTCTATTCTTCAGAATAATTTTTCTTTTGGTTACCAAAATATGACACATTATATCCTTACAACAGAAAAATAACAACACACATCTGAATACAACCCCCAAACCTTATTAACAGACTTCGCTTGAAAAAATGAGCTAACTTTTTGGGGGTTTGCTGCCCAATAAAGATAACATTTAGTATAATTGTCCTGAAGGAGGAACACATCTCTTAAAACAACAGTATTCAGGACACCAAACAAATACATTTGTAATCAACTTAGAAAGAATGACAGTGTATTATACCAGTCCATCTCTAGGCATATAAAAAAGCAAAATTAATAAGCACCAATACAAACATCTATGGTCCAAGGCTGTGATGCTACATACTGGATGTCTTGGCAGCTCCTCATCCTGATGCCTTCATACGTGATGCCTTCGCAAGCCCATGTGCCGGCGGGCAAGAGGCCAGCGCCGCACCTACGCAGAGCGAAGAGCTGGGCGGCTGCACGGCGCCGTGAGTGCGCGGGACACGGGCAGGGGTGAGGGAGACAGGGCAAACGAGTGAACCCCGCACCGTGTTTGTACATGGTGATATACCCCATTGCAGCTACCACGGTAGCAAAGGCCACCTTCTGCGGATGACAATGGTGGCCCCTTGAAACAAGGTAACCTGTGCCTGGTTCTCCTGAAACCCTATCAAGGAATAGCTGAGCTTTCGCCGCCAGCAGCACATGGCTGCGTTGCATCCCCATGATATTTGCAGACCACCCTTTTGGAAAGTGAGCCTGTGTGTACCGAAAGGAAGAGAGCCGATGGAGAAAAATATAGGGAAACTATGAGCTAGGAAAGACCACGATGCTGTATCTGCTCTTTGATGAACGATGAACACCGTTCAGAAAAATTATAAAGTTCCAGCCCTTCTTCCTGCCCCCCCCAAATTATTTACTTTATTTTAAAATCCTACTTGAACATATTTCCTGAGACAATATAGTAAATGGTGTTTTCAGACTTTTTTTTAAATAGTCGTTTTAAAACTCTTCCTCACAAGTAACACTGAACACTAGATATTGGAGTGTACTGAGACAGCAAGACATGGGATGCACTTTTGAGATAAGCTTTTTTTTTTTTTTTTTTAAACTGTATGGTTATAACCTCATATACTAGCTTTGGATAAAACTTGATGACTGTTTAAAAAAAGAAGAGTACATTTGAACATTAGACTTTGGGAAAGGGATTAGTAATTTGCATTAATGTTTGTCTAATTTAATTTAAATGTTCTTCAGCCCCAAGTACACATGTGCCAGGAGGGGCCATTAATAAGCCTAACATGCAGAGCTCCATACAAGTGCAGCCAACAATGTTGACTGAAACTAAACTTGAAAATCCAGGGCACTAATGCACAATATCAAGCAATAAAACAGCATTTCGGTGGTGATATTTAATTTAAAAAGAAGAAAGAGGCAGGGGAAGATCAGGCACTGTCTGTTTTGGAGGATCAGCCATTCTGCATTTCAAAGCGTCGATCCCTGCAATATCCAGGTTACTGTGCTAGAATCTCGACTATTATATAGCGGTTGTAAGAGAGGGAGGGCAAAGATGTGTTTACTCAGTGATTAGGGCCTTAGAATAAGCCTCTAGCTCCTAGAGAGACAGCTCACCACTTATTCATTTGGACCAATTCACAAAGCCTAGAAAGATTAAACATCCATGCTGAGAAGACAAGCGAATGCAGACGGTGAAAAAGAAATAAAAATTCTTTAAAAACTCTGAGATGACTTCATTATTTTTTCCACAAGGAAACTTTAGGAAAGTGTTTAGTTAGAGAAAAACCCACATTGACCTCTCTCTAAACCCTTAATCTTTCCTTTGTGGTGGCACTGCTTTGTGGTAAGCGGATGGCTTTGCTCTCCTCTTTTCACTGGGAGCGGAGAGAAGAAAAAGGCTCTTGAGAAACACTTTTAGTTCCAAAGAAACAACCCCATGAAACTGTTAAATATGAGATTCCATACAAGTGAATGTTTCAAAATATGTACAGTTTTAGGCTTAAAGGTTTAGGGACAAATTTCAGTAAACAGAACAGGCACACAAACAATGGATGGTTACATTTGAACTACTTCATGAGCGAGTGTAGTTTTTTGTTGCAGCACCAAATCATGGCACGCAAATACTAACCTCCATCATACACAACAGACCGTACCTGTGTCTGATAATTTGTCCGAACTGTTAAGGTCAGGCTTATGCATACTGCTAGGACAAAAGTAAAGAGGTAGCAGGAAGAACAGAAGCTGAAACTTATGATTTTGAAAAATCTTAATTGAAGTCAGGAGTATTTTTTGCTTGGAAAAATGCATTATTGTAGAAGACTCGTGGCTTAGAGTTTTGTTTTGTTCTGTTTTTTTTTTTTTTTTTAACTAATCTATGATGGTATATATTTATAAATAGGGTTTTTAGTTGTTATTTCAAGACTTTGAAAAATCAGAAAATTCTAGGATGACTATCACTGGGCATTTTTAGTCAATACTAAGAAAATAGCCTTACTAAAATGTTGAACTGCACTGACGTCCATAGAAGCAGCCTACTCGACGGAACGCCAGTGTTTGTTGCGTCCTCAAAAATATAAAGAATTGGCAGGGGAAGGTATTTAGCGTATGATTTTAACAAAGAAAAAAACGCAATGGGGAAGAACTCTTGCGAGCCGTTATGAAGGTATGACACACTGAAAAGGTTCAAAGTGCTGAATAGCTTCTGGACTCCCAAAGGCTTTCACGTACTTAAACTATTAAGAGATGTATTTTTCAGAACTCGTGGGTGATTAAGGCTAGAGAGTCGTATACTAGGATTTTCAAAGTAACCTGGACGCAGGGGTCTGGGCTTACAAACACACTCAGGAGTCAAAGTCTCATCAGTGTCAACAAGACTTAAGATACTGCTTTAACTCTGAGCTCTAAGTTTCATTTATCTCAAAGGAACAAGGGCCACCTGAAAGTGGCACTAACTACTTTTCAGCAGCTTAGCTATCTAAATACTTTCAAAAATCTAGCTCTCAGGTATTTTTTTTCTGAAATCTCTGTTACCATCAGACTGCCAAGTCTCACGCGCTGCGCATGGGAGTGGACTGCCTTGCCCCTGCTCCCGTGCCTCGCACCCACAGCCAGGTATCCGCGGGGAAGCGCTGCAGCCCCTCCTGCCCCAGGGCTGGCCTGGCCCTGCCACGCTGCGGGACAAAGATGGCCTGCGGCGCCCCGGCAGGACAGTGAGAGATGCTGCTCCGTGGCAGGGGGGCCTGGCAGGAGGCTCAGTTTTCCCAGCTGCAGTCTCACACCGTGTGCCCTCTACTGCGCTAGGTACCAAAAGGACTAAGCCATCAACTTGACTATTTTTGCATTTTGCAATATCTGATGGTGCTTCAGAAAAGTCAATGCATTTTGTACAAAAACAGAAGAAAAGAAGGAAAAGTTGTCACCGAGACAGAAACAAACACAGATCTTAATGAGACAGAGAGACCAAACTGTTAATCACTGACCGAGTAACGGGATATCCAAACTCCTCAGCCATGTACGCATGCATAACATGACACGAGCGTAACATGAGTAAGTTACTGATAGCTAAAAACATGAAATGGAATGAGAAGAGCAATACGATCGTAAGGGTCAGCAAAACCACGGACCTGAATGGTTATTTCTGAATCTCAGGTTTACAAGTTCAAGTAGTGACTGAGACAAAAAACGATCACTATGTAACATCTGCTAGAGGCATGAATAGTCTTTCAAGTCGGTAAGCTAGTGAATCAAAATCTTCCTTTTTCCTCCAGGTTTTATGTAGTGAGAGCTAATTTAAATGAACAAAGGGACACATTTGCACATCTTTAAGCCTTTGAAGTGAACAATCTGATCCACCTTTCCAAGGTGATCCTGGAGATCAGGTGATCAGTCATCTTGGACGCAACTATTCTAACATGCACAATCTTCTTTCCCCCCCGCAGCAGAATGTAACCCTTCTCTAGCACCAATGTGATATAATATACTGCAGAATTTACTCCACTTTGAAAAAGGATCAAAGCAGGATCACTGATATAGGAAATCCTAAATTCTTTAGAAGCTTTTAGTACTGAAATTAAAACATACAATAAATTAAAACAAAGTATACAGTCATAGTACAATGGCAGTCTTATCCGTCCTTGTCATAATGAGAATATCATAGCCCTTAATAAAAATTCCTCTACCTGTAAATGTAACATTGCCAGCTCTAATTATTTTTGTTCAATACCATTAAAAATCGCTAAGGTACATTACAATACTTATGGTAGAAAGTTAATGCCTTTTATTTGAAGGAGCAAACCTTTAGGCAGAGATAGTTACCCAAACCGTATGAGGTTAAGACCCTGGAAAAAACCTTCCCTGTAAAAACAGTCATTAAATGGTCATATATCTGGTATGTATAAAATCCAAAAGTGTTATTATCCAAAGCTCCAGCTGTCTGACATGATACATGAATGAAATAAATATAGCGGCCTTCTCTCAACAGTCAATTCAACTTGTAGTGATATCTTATGTAATGCAAAGAATATTCAGCCATTAAAAACAAACTCAGAGAAGCTCTACATATCATAAACTTAGAAAGAGGGGAAAATGAAGACAGTGCGTCAGACAACCAAAATTAAATAGTGAAAATTTATTTAAAGTACAGAGAACATTGAAGAGACCCACATCCAGGACTAACCTTTCAGATATGAAGGATTAAGTTGAATACAGGGTTCATATTCACCTAGTATGTTGGAGTAAAAATTTCTAATTGGTAATTACC